ATAGATTTTATTGTCGTTTTGTCACTGGGAATAAACTTTAAGATCGTTTCGAAGATGCGAATAAGCATCAAAAATTTATAAAATTGCTAGTCAATTTAACTCGTGATATTACTGTGGTAGTTTAATAGAGTTAGCGTTTCAAAATCGAAAAATCCTTTCGACGCGCGTTTCTAGGGAATACATACGTAGTATATAAATTCACATAAGAATCATACAAGCATTAAGATCTAATTAGAATTCGTTTAAAGCTTTGATTTCTATAGTTTGTGTTATCACACATATACGAGCCTACAATATATTATATTGTAAACTTTAAGCTTCGAGACAAACTGATCAATCATAGTCGAATTTGAGAAGAATACTCGACTAGTTAATTTCTTAAAACTTAAGGCTTATTATTTTCATTATATATTTCGGAACTAATGAGTTATTTTTTTTTTTCAATAAACAACGCGTGATGGTAACAAGTTAATTTTCAAAAATGACTTTTTTCAACTTAACTTTTAGTTATCATTACCATAATAAAAATTGCAATGTTATTATCAAATTAGCGTTATAAAAAATAACGAATAAACGAAAAGTAACAGCGTTACTTACTTTCTCTATTCCTATTAAATTATATTGTATATTAATTTTTTAATTGTACATCCATTTTTAATTATAATTTGTAACACTTTCTAAATGCTCGATCAATTCTTCGAACAACATCCATTCATGATCGTGCGTAAACTCTTTGAGTGTCGATCGTACGTTACATTTTGTCAACTCGGAGCAGCTTATGTTCCGCTTCGCTTCACTCATAAATATGAACAAACACGCTCCTTCGACCTCACTCGTATCGTGACGTGAGTCATGATAACGATTGTCTGTCGTTCGGTAACACGAGTATTCCCGAACTTTCGCGATCTGAGTTGTATTCCGGAATTATCCACATTCTCATTATTGCTTTATATTTCTTCTCGATCGGACGGATCAGCTGATGGCTTTTTCTCTTTCCTGGCGATTGCTGACAGTCGCGCGATCGGTAGGTATTGTAAAAATATTATAAAATTACAAAAGTGCGACAGTTGCTGGATGTGATAGAATTCTTCTTCCTATTTGTTAAACTTTAATGGAGATTGCTTCTGTATTAAATATACAGCTGATTTTCAGTCTCTCGACTCACACCTCAAAGCGAAAGAAAGTCAAAAGGATGTTATTTTGACGTTTTGAAGGTCAAAATGATGGCTTTTGGTTGCCAAATTTTACTGTTTGTTGACGTTAAGAATCGAAATAAAGTTACTTTAATTTCCCGTTAACTTCTGTGTGCTCCTTGGGATGTCGCTTCATTATATCATTAGAATGCGCCACGTGCTGATCGCTGTTATCAACAGGCCATGCGCCGAGTTAAACCTTGATACTGACGCTGCAAGTGGTCACATTTTGAAAGTGACGTTTGCATAACGTTGTCATGAGAATAAAAATTTCTCTATTAACACTCTCTATTAACAATAGCATTACGTCATTATAATTTCTCATTCAGTAATACAAATGTAACAGTGCAATTATTGATTAATTAATATATCCAATAAGTAATTGAGCTATAATATAATTGCATTTATTGAAATTCTTCACGTTATGTTTCTTCAAAACTGTGGGTATTCAAAAATATTTATTCACAAAGATACTAGGATTGTTTTACGAATATTCGAAATGTAAATTAAAAAAGAAAGCGCCAATAAGCAATTGCCTTTTAACTATAATTAACTCTTTGATGATTCTATAATAGGTGATTAAATAATAATATATTGTTAAATTTTCTTTCTATAAAATCTATTCGTACTCTTTAGTTGGATCAGGAAAAAAATATAATTATGATAATGAATGGCTCTATTACGTGCATATTGTTCTTTTTATTTCTACACGAATGTCGTTTTCTCGTACATAATGTTAATTAAGAAATTGGATTCAACAGAAACATATGAATAACTTTATGTAATTAAAAAAAAGAACTTATAAAGTTTAAAGTCTGAATATTAGTCTTCTACTAATTTCACTATTTTTACAAATTTCCGTTATTTTATGCTGACAAAATAAAGGCAGATAATGCAGAATGCGAGTGAATGCGAAATCAAAAGTAGGTATTCACAATTATGTTCACAAAAATATTCATTCAAATCAAACGAAAAGTATTTATTCGTTTCTCAATATATATAAAGAAATGTATTTATATTCATATTCATATTATTTATATCATTCATTTATTCGAATTTTGAGCGTATTTGTCAGACACACTAAGTACATTAAGTAATTATTATGTAGGTGCATTGCATTATTTAACATGCATTGCATTATTTATACTGTTGAGTGGGAAATTATAACCACAATAATCCACTAATAATTTATTAATTGCAATTATTAAATTATTAGTTAACTTGTGCTGCTATAAAATCATAAGCAAAAATGATCCGAAATGATTATGTAACTCACGGACAAAACTAATTTATGCGTGATCAATTTTCATTGAATTTGGAACATTATAATAATGAATTGTTTGAGGTTATAGTGAGATTTGTTTTGTTAGCAAAATAGAAAAATTTTGCCGAGTAAATTTGTTCATAGAAACACTACGTTGACTTGTTAAAGCAAACAGTTCGTTTATTTAATAAAACAAACAGCGTATCCATAGCAAAAATGTATTTTGCCGTTACAATAAAATTGCGTTGCTGAAACGTATGGCTGATATGAAAATAAACAATATTGAAGACTAAAAAATGAAGAAATGAAAATTTTGTTATATATTGTAACGGAATAATTTGCAATACTAACGAAGCTGTTTCAGCAAATATAAAATCAGTTTTCTCAACAAATATTTTTTCCATCTATATAATAATTAAAATTGCTAACGAGAAATTTATTACATATTTAGTTCATATAAACATCTAAATTTGCTATACATTCAATTTATATAAACATTTAAGTGTTTGCTGTATCAATAAATATTTTTTCACATGGAGAAAATTGGATAGAATATTTTTTCTTAATTGAGGGAAAAGTCGAGAATCGTTAACCTGGGAATAGTGACCCAGTTTTTTGCGTAACCGATCGCTGCAATATTTTTTATATACACTCCAATAAAAAATCACTATTATTAACTATAACTGTATATTGTTGATTGTTCTACAATTTATTAGTATTTAAAAAAATTACACACACACACACAC